CCACGATTTTCCAGAGAACGAAATGAAACACCCCATTTTCGGAAAACTTTAGACACCTCCCGGTTGCAGAATTCCGTGCCCTTGTCACTTTGAACCAACCTGACACCTCTCCCAGCCCGGGTAAAGTGTTTTTCGAATACATCGGCAACCTCCCTGCCTGTTTTCGTTCTCAGAGGGTACATCCAGACATAACGACTGAGACAGCAAACCATGGTGAGAAAATAATTGAAGCCATCGTTGTAGGAGTTTAATTTTCTCATGTCATTAAGATCAACTTCATACACATCATACAACCCCTTAATGTTATAAAAATTCAATGGAAAATTCTTGCGAGCTGGCTTATAGCGTGTATAAATTTCCTGACTCAAAAGCCACGCATGCACCTCCGAAGGCGTGATTCCACGCGTGCGGGCCACTCTCTTTAAATTTGCAACAAAAGAATACGCAGATGGATTTTTTAAATCATAGTATATTTCACACATTTCTCGATCGACAAACTGTCTTCGACTGTCCTCCTCGCCGCCGTCGTGGTCACCGCTGCTGCTGCTGCTTCGTCGAACGATCTTCCTCCCCCGCGGCGGGCGGGCGCCAGCGGCGGCGCGGGCGCCGGCGCCGGCGCCGGCGGCGGCGCTGGCGTTACCCGCAGTTGACGCTTGCACAGCAGAACCACGCCCGGCCCCATTTTGGAGACCGATGCACGCCCATCTCGGGAATGTGCAAGCTCGGTGAATTCGATGCGGTGTCTTTGCAAATGAGGTCATCATGGCATCTACTTTTTGGTCTTTCGAGGGCGTCTCTCTAGCTGCAATGGCGACCACACCACTTCGCGACCGCGCAGGTGTCGAATTTTAGGAGACGTGTGCGGCGACCTACGAATGCAGGCGGTCGCGGGGGATCCGATCGGAGTCGAGAAAGCGCTCGGCGATACGTCCTCACCCACGCCGCGCCAGGGCGTGACTGCGTGTGGCTGTTCGCCTTCATCCATCTCCATGCGCGAGACTTGCAGGATACTGTCGTTGATTGACGTTAGCTGCTGACTCTGATTCGTCACGTGTTCTCCAATGAGATCGAGCATTGTCTCGAGGGAAACAGAGCGGGCATCTTCTTCCGCGTCTTCATGATGCGGCAACGCGAATGCAGCCGGGATTTCATCGCGCTCATAATTGTAGTCTGAAGACATGCGATGAGCGAATACGGGTGCACCGTGAATGTATTTCTTGTGAATACCCGTCACGTCACCGCTCTCTATCAATTCCTCACCCTCCGGATAATTTTGCCGTTCAAGACTACGTCTTGCCCCCAAGTGTGCTCCGAAAGCGCCGTCATCTTTACCGTCTCTTTTCACAGATGCCGTCATCGCGACTGCAGTGGATTCTCCTTGTCCAGGAGAGGGCTGGCGAATGCCGGTGTCATCTTTTCCCTCCATCTTTACGGTTGGCTGCTTCTGTCTGTCACGTTCTTCCTTTATTCTCTGCTGTAACATCTGCTGTAAAATGGTTTTCGTGTCGTCAATACCTCCGCGATCGTTGTCTTGAACTTCATAAATGGGCAGATTTATGTTATTTTCTCTCTCGTCTCTTTTCACATCAAGAAATCGTTGCAGCAGCGCACGATATTTGTCCCACTCTTCGTGTTCTCGCACTTCATCCTTTTTAACAGAATTCTTGAGAGTGTCTTGCATTTTTCCTTCTAAATCTTTTTTCATATCTTTCAACGTTTCGCTCTTCATCCGTTCCAACTGCTGCGGTGAAATCACCAACATTTTTTTCAGCACTGAAGCACTCATTTTTTTTCAGGTGAACACCGTTAACCTGATTTTTTATCGGGTACAGCCACACGGCTGATAACTCTTCCGACGACACCACCGAGGGCTGAGCTGATTAATGCCGTCAGAAAGGGTCCGTTGCCTTTCTGCACAAGATATCGTCGTTTCTTCTTCCAGACGGGTTCGGCTTTTCTCACACCCGCACCGGTTTGTCTCTTGCTTGTCGTAGCCCGCTCCTTCACGTACGCCAGATGTCGGAGAACGGTCTTGTACTTTTGAAGTACGTCTCGCGACTGATCATCAATGGCGATGTTCCCCCTTAAAATATTCAATGCGATCTCGCATACGCTCAGAATTAAATCCTCGTCAGCGTTTTTTATCATACACTTTTGCAGTTCAGAGGGGCTCTCTCGCAGAACATGCAGATGATGCCTGCACTTTGCCAGCTTCTCGAGAGGGTTTGTCATTGCTTGAAAATGTTTCCTGCAGGGGATACCAGTATTGCTCCTTTCCCTTTCTGTCGTAGCTGCTCGACTGCCCCGTCCGTAGCGTAAACTGTCAGATGCGGATCCGTCGGCCAGATATTTGTCACAAAACGGAGCGCATCATCTGTGGTTGGATTTAAATCGATTACCATGTATGAGAACGGACCCGACCACGCGTCGTTCAGTGCTTCACAGAGTGATCGCGCGTTCTCGGGGTAAACTTGTCGGGCTAGATGCATGAACTGCACCTTGTCGCGATAATTTTTCAGCAATATAAAGTAGCGGGTCGACAGACTAATCGAACGGGCGTGCTTACTCTGATGAAACAGGTTTTGAGATAGAATAACGACAGATATTTGTCGATGTCGTGAGCCTTTCGTATACAGTTCTGCAATCGTTAGATCGTTGAGCGCGGAATTCATCAGATCATCTAATATTACCAATGAATCTGTCTGCAACACACTAGAATCCTCCGCTGGGATGCCACGGTGCAAAGTAATCGCAGGGTTTTTCGATACACCTTCTGGGACGGCTCCGTCCTGGCCGTAACACCACACAATATTGGATATGTTTCCTTCGACCAGCTCTGTAAGGTGTTGCAAGAGACGTAACATGAAGGTCGACTTTCCTGATCCAGCAGGAGCGGCCAGGCACGCTGTAAACGGATGCCGCATACGCCACATGATTGGACTTTACCTGCTCAGCAGCTAGGGATGAAATGGTGACTCGGTCAAGCCTCTCTCGTCTTTTATACTGTGTGCCTTGTCGCCAACGTCGCACTGGTCATCAGTGAATGAGAATTGGGATAAGATTAAATTAAATACATTTCATAACATGAGGATAATTTATTTCACAACTTTTTCACACATCATCCAATAAAGCAATTAAATCCTGAAGATTCTCTTCTCCTTCGTCAATCATTTCACAATCATCTCCATCATCGTCGCTGTCTACAACCGCATTCATTTGCTTTATCTTATAATGGCCATATGCTAGAGTGCTAATATTATCATCTAGAATAAATCTCTTGTCATCATAACAGCTTAGTCCTTTTTTTACACAGTAAGTTGTGAAAACGCCATGCTTTCTGTCAGTGGCAATTTTACTATATGACACATTTTTACCTTCAAACTGAGTGATACATTTCTTGTAGTCATTGAAAGTTAATTGAGATTTCAGGGCTGCTCTTGGGATGCCCTTTCCTACCGACTTTTCCTTGTTGTCAACTGTCTTGAAACTGTACATTTTCGCCCTCAGCCCGATAAAAGAGTGAATAGGAACAGAACCGAGTTCATCTGAAAATTTTCCCATCACCTTTTTGTTGTCTAGGCTGTGCAATGGATGACTGACAGGATAGTCTGAGGTATCAAAATACTCCCTCATTTCATACATGTCAGCGTACACATCCTCAGTAACTATTTCTACGATAATCGAGTCAGTGTCTCCGCCTAGAACCTTTATATTTTCCCCATACTTAACTTTAAGGACATTATAATAAAAATCATACATAATTTTCTTAGATATATCTAAGCATACCTGACCGACATACAATGGTCGGTTCAATACAATTTTGTTCTTTCGACGCTCGACACATGCAAGCCCATGATTAAATATCTCAAAACTGTGATACAGGGGACTGCGTACCAGCTTTCTAAACTTTTGCCTCTCTTTTGTTAGCACAACATTTCGACGTTTACGAACAGCCTCGCACGTCTTGCCAAAAACAGAATTATTCATAAGTTTCCAGAAAGCTTTCTGGAAATCAGAGGTCGCCAACTTCCGCATATCTATATTGTGTGTGATAAATGGCTTAAGCCAAGCACTCTGCTCAAACTCTATAATTTTGTGGATTTTTTCAAGTCTTAGGCCTAGTTCTAGATACAACATGAGGGTGTCTCCATACACTACATAACACTTTTTATCACATAGATTAGGTATTAGTTTTTTTGTACTCTTCTTAGGCAAGTTATAGTCCCTGATCATTTTCTTCTGGAGTCGGGATAAGTCCTTGTACTGCGGCTCCATGTGCTCTGGCGCCAAAGGATAAAAATTGTGCTTGTCGTGCAATTCTTTAGGATATACCAGATCCACAACAAATAAATAACCCAAATCCGAATCAGGATTAATTTTTTCAGGACCAAACTCTTCAATTTCAGAGGCTGTTAAATGTCTGAAAGAACCAGTTGGTAACTTTGCACACAAAGCTGTGGAGTATAATGCGTTAGCATCATAGTACATAATGAAGGAGGTCGGTTTCGACTCTGAATAAGTTTCTGGAACATATCTATTATTTGCCTGGACATATCTCTCCTGGATACTTGCTACTCCGCCTCTCAGACCACGTTCAAATGTCAAATGGATATCAATATCATCCAACAACTCTAAGCGCTGCTTAGTGAACAATAAACTAGCCGAAAATGCCATACCAGGCGTAGTGTAGTAATGAACAGGGTCCAGTTTATAATGCGCCATAGACATTTTTCGAAAATTCTCCATACAATCAGCCAAAAGGACGGTGTCCGTTAAAAGATACAAATTATGATAATCTTGCAATGTAGACATTTTGAAATGCCGATAAACATTTTGAGCATGCTGATAATCCTCTGGAGTCACATCCATCCCTGTGAGATCGTTTCTAAATGCATTTTGAGGGGGCAGACAAGTTTCACTAAATTTAGCAAACGAATCAAAGTAAGAGTAAGGATAGACACCTTTACGGCTCACCAATGCTCTATCATCATTATCAGGGAACACAGTTTTTAACAGAGGCATTTCATCTTCAGATAGGTCGGCAACTAATTTATCAAGGCTGCTGTTCAGAAATCCCAAACTGTCTAAGAACCGTAACAGACCCCATTGGAAAGAAACATATTTTTCTTTTGTACGAGGCACAACAGCCAAGTCTGACCCATCACTGAGTTTGCCTATTTCATTCAAGATCATATGGGCATCATAGTTTTTAAGATTATGCATAAACACTGGGATATAAGACTTCCGCTTAAGGTTAAGGTTACATGGATACTGACATGCTGCCCCTCTAAAGTTGTGCGTTGGTTTAGACCAGTCATGATCGCGCACTTTCTTAACATTAAAGCGTGGCATCTGATCACCACACATATAGCACTCCTTGGCAGCCTGAAACTCCTTTTCTTGTTCATCACTCATATCAAGCTCATATAAATCCCCCCTCAACTCGGTAATCGTCTCTACTTCTTCTTTGAGGCACATTAAAAATTTTATAATTAGATCACTTTCACCAAATTGGAGCACTGGGGGTTTCAGGAGGGTTCCATCAGCCTTGACGATGATATAGCAGAATCCACAAGGCACGTGCTGACTTGTCGTTGTGGTTGATGATGCAGCTGGATCCGGATGAACGGCGTTATTGGGCACACAAATGGCCTCGAAATCTGCATAAATGCAGAAATCATGATGCATTTGGTTGCCCCACTCTCTGAAGCGCAGGGTGATGTCCTGCGGACGAGGCGTCTTCACCACCTGGGCATCATGGCTGATGCACTGCTGCCTGTGTTCCAAGTACGACGCGCGATACCGATAGGGTGTCAGACAGTTTTCACACCAGTTCAATGCACATTTGTACTTGGTAAGATGTGATAAAAATTTCGAGAGATCTTTTATCAGCACGTAATGGGCGTCATCCTCCTCATCCTCTTCATCTGCGCGCAGGAGCAAAAGATTTATGTGCCGGCCACGGATTTCTTTTGAAATGCGCAGGGGCACGACATCTTTGTCATCCTCCAACCCAAAAACATTGATGCTAATATCCTGATTCTGCTCTTCAAATTTTGAGATATCCCGTATTTTTACAGGATACTTTATGCCCTCCATATTTAATTCATTCAATCTGTGCCGGTATTTAGCAACCCTCTGAGGATTCTGTGCAGGAAGGTCAACCCCTGCGAGACATGAATACAAAAAGCACTTGTCATCATAATTTTTAATATTAACAAGACCTTTTTTTGGATTGGCATAATATCAGGAAGGGGCATATAGGATGAGCCTTTTAATGCAGAGTACTTAGCCACTCTCAGTTCAATTTTTTCAACCCTTTCAAAAAGAATGTGGGATCCCTCCCCTTGTGCTTTATCAAATGAATTTATCACACCTAGAATGGCTTCCTCAGTTTGCTCTATAATTTGATCATCCCGCAAGGTTGTGAGTGGTTTGCATCGCATGTACCGTATGGCGTTTCCAGAATCTGGATAAGTGCATTGGATAAATGCAGATAGGTACCATTTAATCCGGCGCAGTTCTTTCAGATCCTTTTGAACCATACGGCAAATGTCATCCTTATTTTCCAGAAGTGTCAGCTGCAGGTCATGCAAGTTTGTGATGTTGAGAGAGTGAATTCGAGCGTCGCCCTGAACTGCGCTCTGGGTCTCCCACTGAGACTTTGATGCAATAATTTCACGCACCTTTCGATATCTGTTACGTTTCACCCTCTTCCCACCACATACATTGACATGCCACCTGAGCGACACTGCTGTCAAGAAGCCTCGTCGACAACCGTCACACACAAACCTTTTACGTTTACTGCTGTGACTGGCTCTCTTGTGAGAGTACAAGAGAAACAAGGAATGAAATTTTTCTTTACACTTTTGACATCTGTACATTTTAGACTTTTTGGGCATTTTTTTCATGACCACACCATTTTCTCCGTGCTTTACATTTTCAATGTGGGTTTTTAAGATCCTCTTATTTTTGAATTGCTTCTTACACGTATCACAACTAAAAACGTTCCCAGAATGAGTCTCCTCTTCATGGCGTTTAAGAGAACGCTTGTGCATGAACTTTTTCCCACATGTCTGACACCTATAATCCACTGACGCTACTGTCTTTGGAGGGTGTTGCACACTTGACTTGGAACACGAGGCCGCAAAATCTGGGGCGTGGCGTTCACCGATGTGAGCCACTAGCCGCTTTGGGTCCTCGAACACCTCATCACACCAATAGCACTTCATCGTATCCTGCACACATCAAACATATTTTTGTGTTAGTCCCGCCCCACAGAATAAGGATTGATACAGTTCCTACACTTGTCATAGAATTTACTTACAGCGAGATGCACACGATAGCTTCAATTAATCCGCCCTTCTGTCGCCGCAAACAACACTTCCTTCACCCTGCAGACACACACATGCACAGCGGTGATAATTTTCTGAATGACACTTTAAAACAAGATATATGCACTCAACAAATACGTACCTACACAGATTGACTTCCTTTTCCACATTATCACTAATTCTTCGTCTTATAAACGGCACTTGAACTCCTACCACACACGGACACAGACACTTTCACGAGACACCTTCTCACCACCACACTGCACCACTGACTGAGGCTCGGCTGACACATATGCGACACTGTGTTCGATTCCATCGCCGGCGGGCGCTACTCACCCCCCTGCTGACACCGCGTTTCCGCCAGTTGGCATTCCCCGCGGCCTGCAAGCGCGCTGGACTGGGGCACCGCGTGGCCGCGGTGGCCGCCGATACTTGCTGACCGTGCAGTCACCGCCAAAGGTACACCTGCACCCTGGGCGAGGGGGATGGGGAGGGCGCTGCACTGCTGACCGCGCTGGGCGCGCCGACCACGCCGGCCGCCCGAGCTGACCGCGGTTGCTTGCAGCTCGCCCTTCCGCGGTGTGTCTCTCTCGCACTCGCTCTATCTCCCTCTCTCTCTCTCTCTCACGCTCCCTCCCTCTCTCCCTCTCGCTCTCTCTCCCCCTCTCTCTCTCCCTCTCTTTCCCTCTCTCTCTCCCTCCCTCTCTCTCTCTCTCCCTCCCTCTCTCCCTCCCTCTCTCCCTCCCTCT